ATGCCGCGCCGAGCCCCCGCTCGCGGCGCCGGGCCGCCCGAACCGACGGTCAGTCCCGGCAGAGAGAGAGAGAGAGAGACACAACTCCCACACCAAACGCGCCGCTCGAGACGCCTCCCACACCGCTCTCATATTAGGCACGTACCGCCTCGCCTTCGCCGGCGGCAAGACGCTCGAGCTGCCGCTGAACGCGACGGCCGCCGCGCTCGAGAGCGCGCTCGAGAAGGCGCACGACGACGCCGTCGACGTGTCCGTGAGCCGTCAGGACTTCGCCGCGGGCTTCGGCGCCGACCACGAGTACACGATCACGTTCCTCAGCGACCTCGACGCCTGGGCCTCCGACTCGCTCAAGGTCCTGTCGCCCGAGGACGGCAACGGCGCCGCGGTCGCCGAGGTCAACATCTCGCGGCCCGCGGCGGGCGGCCACTACCCCGTGGACTTTATCCTCGGCTACGTCGGCGAGTACGAGCTGAGCGTCACGTCCAGCGGCCGCCACGTCGAGGGCTCGCCCTTCGAGGTCGACTGCGAGCACGGCGTCGCGACGTCGGGCGCTGTGCCGAATTCAACCACTGGTTTGGGTGGTCCTGACCAAACTTCAGAATTCTCTAGCTCGGTCAAATCGAAGTCGATTTGGCTGATTTTTGGACGAATCGATTGCTCTCGTCGAGTTCTCGAAGTACGGCAGAAGACATTGCGTCGAAACTGTCGCATACGCTCACATTGAAGTCGGGTTGAAGATTTGAATTCCACACAGGTCCGGCGCGACGACGGTCGCGAGCGACAACATCAACGAGGCCGTCGCGGGCGACACGATCGTCCTGGACGTCCACGCGCGCGACCACCGCCAGCACGAGGTGCAGATCGTCGCCGTGGCTGCTCAAGCCGTGGACACGGTGCCCGAGGTGCAGCGCGTCCACGTCGGCAGCTCGGCCTTCACGCTGACGTTCCGCGGAGCCACCACGAGCTCCTTCGCGCTCGGCGGCACCGAAGCCACGCTCGAGGGCCTCATCGAGGACCTGCCGACAATCACGGGCGGCGTGACGGTGACGGAAGAGACGTCCTCCGACGGCACGATCGACGCCTCGGACACGTTCCTGGTCGAATTCTCGGGCGTCTACGGCGACGTGCCGCTCCTCTCCACGACGGCCACCAAGGTCCACGAGGTCACCAAGGGCGACGCGCCCTACGTGCGCGAGATCCAGACCTTCTACTGCGACGCCACGTCGGGCAACCTCGCCGTGGACTTCCGCGACTACGACACGACGGCGTCGCTCGACGTCTCGACGGCGACGGTCGCGGACCTCGCGACGGAGCTCGCGGCCGTCGGCATCGCCGTGTCCGCCTGGCGCCACGACGACAAGACCGACTCCGCTTTGACGATCTGCGGCAGCGGCAACACCGTCGCCGAGATGGTCTACGTCGAGTTCCTCGAGCTCACGGGCGACCTGCCGGCCCTCGAGTACAACGCGTCGTCGACGGCCCTGGCGTCGAGCATCGTCGCCTACAGCGGCGGCAACTACGGCCAGGTCGACGGCGTCCACCCCGTCTGGGGCACCTTCACGCTCGAGTTCGGCGGCTGGACGTCCGACCCGATCCGCGCGGACGCGTCCGCCGACGAGCTCCGCGACTCGCTCGAGGCCCTGCCGTCCATCGGCGACGTCAGCGTCTACAAGACGACGATCGGCCAGTGCCTCGATCAGCTCGACCGCCAGATCTTCCCGAACGCGTCCCGCCTGAGCGTCTGGGAGGTCCACTTCGACGGCCGCTGCGCGATCAGCGGCTGGGACTTTTGCCCGGACACGCTCGGCGACGTCGCCATGCTCGCGGCCGACGCCTCGGGTTTAGCGTACGATCTCTCCCCCTACGAGCGCCAGGCGGCGCCGACGGTCCGGGTCACGGAGGCCATCAAGGGCACGACGGGCAACCTCGTCACGTCGTCGGGCGGCGACGAGATCATCGAGTACAGCGCGACGCACCAGCAGCACACGGACGTGGGCATCGACATGTACGAGACGCAGCGCCTGCGCTGCGCGACCCAGTCCGGCGGCAACTTCTCCCTGTCCATGCTCAACAACGCGACGGGATTGTGGGAGACGACGACGAATGTGACTGGACTGACGAACATCGCGAACCTCAAGGCCGCGCTCCTCGCCCTCCCGGGCGTCAAGCCCGGCCTCACGGTCACGGGCGGCAACGCCAACGGCGACATCTGCTGCACGGACGCGACCGCGTCGACGTGCGCGTGGGTCTCCGTCGCCTTCGTCGGCAACTTTGGCACGCTGCCCATGCTCGAGTTCGGCGAGGAGCAGGGCGTCGACCTCGAGATCGAGGAGATCGTCAAGGGCATCGACAGCCTCGAGTACGCCGGCGACGGCCTCTACAGGCTCGCGGTGACGCCGACGGTGTCGGGCAACTACACGTTCACGCTCCGGATCTCGCCCCAGTTCTTCGGCGGCGCCAACGCCACGACGGACGTGTCCACGGAGCTCTCCGCGGGCCTCATCGTCCTGCCGGCGCAGGCGTCGGGCCCCCAGAGCCACCACTACGCGGACCTAAGGGCGACGACGGCGGTCGAGTCCACGTTCCTCGTGCAGGCGCGCGACCGCTTCGGCAACCGCCTGGGCCGGTCCCTCGACGCGGGCCCGGGCTCCCACTTCGCCGTCGACCTCAACGGCACGGGCTTCGAGGGCGGCGGCCGCGAGGGCGACCGGAGCCTCGTCGCGGGCGCCGTCGACGACAAGTACGTGCCCAACACGGACGGCCTGTACGAGGCGTCCTACACGCCCGAGCTCGCGGGTCCCCACGTCCTCGAGGTCGAGCTCACGCAGCCCGGCGGCCTCCTGGCGACCTACTACGCGCAGATGGACTTTGTCGACCCGGCGCTCCACGCCACCGGCTGGCGCGCGTGGCCCTACCACGAGCCCAAGTGGTGCCCGCCGGAGGCGTTGACGCCCTGCGACAGCACGCGCCTCGACGGGCCCCTGGACCTCGACTTCGGCGGCCTCGCGCCGCTGTCGCAGACGGAGTGGCCCGACTTCCCCGCGGACTTCTTCTCCGCGCGCTGGGTCGGCCACCTCCTCGGCCCCGTCGACGGCGTCGTCACGCTCCACCTCCGCACGACCGAGGCCGTGTCCCTGGTCCTCGACGGCGAGACGCTCATCGACACCATGGACGCGTCGGGGTCGCTCGTCGACGTCGCGTCGGCAAACTTCACGGCCACCAAAAACGAGCTTTACGCGCTGGAGATCTCCTTCGTGGAGGAGATCGACGGCGCGGCCATCAGCTTCGAGTGGACCGTGGGTGGCGCGCAGGCCGTCGTCCCGGCGTCGGCGCTCTACTACACGCGCCACGCGAAGCTGTCGCCCGAGACCGTCGTCGTCTACCCCGACCGCATCGCCGCGGCGACGACGGCGGCCGAGGGCGACGGCACCCTGGCCTGCGTGGCCCTCGAGGAGTGCTCCTTCGTCGTCACGGCGACGGACGCCGACGGCAACTACCGCGTCAACACGGGCGCGGACGAGCTCGTCGTCGAGATTCTGGGCGTCGGCGACTGGGCCGGCGAGGGCCGCACGAACGAGTACGACTCCTACGGCGTCATCGAGGTCGACCAGGTCACGGACGTCAACGTCGCCTGGGACTACGTCGGCACGGCCTCCGTCTACAACAACGTGTCCAAGCTCTACAACCTCTCGGGCGCGTTCGAGACGCTCCTCCGCGGCGACGTGCTGTCCATCGGCGACGGCGACCTCCAGGACGCGTCGCCCGAGTTCATCGCCATCGGCAGCGGCGCCTTCTACCTCAACGACACCGTCGGCGCCGACGAGCGGTCCGTGCCCCTCGCGGACGTCTGGCGCGGAAACGACGCGCACCGCGTCCGCGTCTACAAGGGCGCGTACGCGGGCGACACCGCGCGCCATACGATATCCTACACGCCCTACGTCCGCGGCACCTACGACCTCGACGTGCGCGTGAAGAAGACCGAGGAGGTGCAGCAGGTCGTCGTCTCCGTGGGCGCGGGGCTGTGTGGAAATCAACCGCTGGTTTGGGGGGTCCCGACCAAACTTTGAAATTCTCTAGCTCGATCAAATCGAAGTCGAGTCGGCTGATTTTTGGACGAATCGATTGCTCTCGTCGAGTTCTCGAAGCACAGTCAAAAAGGGTGCGTCGAAACGGTCGCATACGCGCACATTGAAGTCGGGTTGAAGATTTGATTCCCACGCAGGCGCGGGGAAGAAGCTCGCGGGCAACTTCACGCTGTCGCTCACGGCGCCGGACAAGTTCGGCGTCGTCGCCACGGAGACGACGCCGCCCATCGCCTACGACGCGACGCCCCAGGACGTCGAGGACGCCCTCATCACGCTGTCCCAGGTCTGGGCCTGCAACGTCTCGGGCTACAACTCCGCGCCGAAGAACGGGTCCAAATTCCGCGTCGAGTTCAGCGGCGTCTACCCGCTCGTCGGCGCCGACTTCCCCCTCTTGGTGCCCGACACGACGGACCTCACGGGCAACCGCGCGGCCGTCGACGTCTACGAGGTCGTCAAGGGCGTGCCCGAGGCGTCCATCGCGGGCGCGCCGTTTCCGCTCGTCGTCTCGCCCAACGACGCGTCCAGCGCGTGGTCCACGGCCTACGGCCGCGGCCTCGTCCAGGGCGTCGCCGGCGAGACGTCCAGTTTCACGATCATCGCCAAGGACGAGTGGGGCAACACGCGCTTCGACGCGCAGGACGAGAGCAAGTTCTCCGTGTTGGCCTTTGTGGAAATGACGACGCCGGGCGCGGACGGCTGGAGCCGCAAGAACTCGGACGGTCTGGTCGCTTCCACGGCCACGGCGGTCAACGGCTCCGTCGCCTACGTCGGCGACGGCGAGTACGTCGTGTCCTACACGCCCGTGGCCTCGGGCCCGACGACCGTCGCCGTCGTGCTGCAGGACGCCGTCGAGGAGCAGGTCGTCTCCTGGAACGCCACGGCCCCGGACGACGCCGTCAAGGACGGCGGCGGCGTCGTCTTCTCCATCGCGGGGAGCGCCTCCGACGAGGTCGCCTGGGACTCCGAGGCGTCCGACGTCGCCGCGGCGCTCTCGGCGCTCGGCTGGGGCGCCGTCGAGGTGTCGCGCGGCATCGCGCGCGGCACCGACGACCTATCGAAATACGACGCCGCGGCGCTGCGCGGCCTGCAGATCGATTCCGTCAACTACGTCTACAGCGTGACCTTTTCCGACTACGTCGGCGACGTGCCGCCCATCGAGGCGCACTTCCCGCTGGACGCGAACTTCATCGACTACGCGTCCGCGTCCGTCGCGGAGGTCGTCAAGGGCTCCTGGGGCGTCGTCAAGGCGTCGGAGTCGAAGATCACGGCGACGCCCTGGGTCAACGAGGCCCTCGTCCGCGAGAAGCAGGTCGTGCGCCTCGTCGGCTCGGGATCGTACGACGGCAACTTCACGCTCGAGTTCAAGGACGCGGAGACGGGCATGATCCCCGTCAACGCGTCCGCGGCCCAGATGAAGCAGGCTTTGGAGGTGCTCGAGACCGTCGGCGAGGTCGACGTGACGCGCTTCGGCGAGCTCGGCGCGGGCGCGCTCGGCTACGAGTGGGTCGTCACCTTCGGCAAGGGCCGCGGCACGGAGACGGACATGACGAACCTCGGCGACCAGCCGGCGCTCATCGCGCGCAATTCCACGCTCACGGGCGGCAAGATCACGGTCTACGCGTCCGGCGCGACGTCGCCGGGCGGCAAGGCGTCGCGCGACGGCGTCGCGCCGTTCCAGGCCGCCGTGCGCCCCGCGGCCGTCAGCGCCCCGAACTGCACGGCCGTCGACGCCGCGGGCGTCGCGGGCCGCGACGGCCTGACCACGGGCTTCTTCGAGCGCGAGAGCGGCTTCGTCATCGAGGCGCGCGACGCGTTCGGCAACCTGAACCCCTACGGCCCGCGGGCCGAGACGCAGATCGTCGACGTGTTTGGCAACGCCTCCGACGCCGTGAACCACACGGGCTCGGCCTTCTCCATCAGCTTCCTCGGCGAGACCGTGGCGATCCCCTACGGCGCGGGCATCGCGGACGTCGAGGTCGCCATCGAGGGCCTGCCGGACGTCGGGGCCGTTTCTGTATCGACAACATCGGCCCACGACATCATCTCGGGCTGCGTCGCCAACGCGACCTTCGGCCTCTCCGTCATCGACCCGTCCTGCGACCTGAGCGCCTACTTCGAGGTCGGCGACTGGATCCGCGTCGGCCGCAACATGTCGACGACGCAAGTCTTCACGGTCGTCCACATGCAGGCCGTGTCCCCCTACGCCCTGACGCTGAGCTCCCAGTGGCTCGGCGACGACGACGGCGAGCTCAAGATCTACGAGCACGGCGCGGGCCTCAAGGGCCACCGCGCGGCCTACCGCTACGTCGTCACCTTCGACACGCTGCTCGGCGACCTGCCCACCATGGCGGCGACGCCGTCGTCCATCAAGTTCACGACGGCCGTCACCTACTGCGAGCGCTACCGCTACCAGACCATCAAGACGTCGGACAACAACGCGAACGCGACGGCCGGCGACATGATCAACGGCACGTTCATGCTCGAGTACCGCGGCGCGTCCACGCGCCAGCTCCCGCACGACGTCACCATGTCGGCGCTCGAGACGGCGCTCGAGGACGACCTTCCCGGGGTGTATTCCGCGTCCGTCTTGGAACGCCACGGCCCCTTTGCGCGCAACGAGTACAAGTGGCTCGTGCGTTTGGACTCCGTCGTCGACGACGCGCCCGAGCTCCTCTACGCGGAGGGCTACCTCCTCAGCGGCGGCGACGCCGCCGTCGTCGCCGACGACGACACGTGCCCCGCCGCCTCCGAATCGGCCGCGGGCGCGCGCGTCTACTCGCAGGCGGGCCGCCTCGGCGCGCAGTTCGTCGCGCGGCTCTCGGGCCCCGAGGCCGTGAACGCGAACGTGTCCTACCGGAGCCACGGCTTCTACGACGCGACCTACGGCACGCCCGTCGTCGGCTCCTACCTCGTCGACGTCTCCGCGACGGAGAGCGGCGGCCTCGTGGGCACCTACTTCAACAACCGGTGGCTCTACGGCGACAGCGTGCTCACGCGCGTGGACCACTCCATCGACTTCGAGTTCGACGAGGAGGACGCCATCACGGAGACGGGCAAGGACCACGTCTCCGTGCGCTGGACGGGCTTCCTGCGGCCGTCCTTCGACGAGCGCTTCACGTTCCACGCGCAGGTCAACGACGGCGCGCGGCTCTTCGTCGACGGCGAGCTCCTCTTCGACGCCTTCGAGAACGAGGTCGAGGACGCCGCGGGCTACGCGGAGTTCTCCGGCACGACGTCGGCGCCGCTGCTCGCCGGCGCGCTCGTGGACGTGACCATGGAGTGGCGCGAGACGACGGGAAACGCCGTCGCGCGGCTCCTCTGGTCCTCGGACTCGCAGCCCTACGGCCTCGTGCCGTCGAGCCGCCTCTTCCACCACGCGTCGGACGCCGTCATCTCGTCGCCCTTCGTCTACGCGCCCGAGGCCGTCAAGGCGTCGACGCCGCTCGACGTCGAGCTCTCGCGGAACGAGTGGGACGAGATCGTCGTCACCTGGGACGCGCCGGCGAACGACGGCGGCGAGCCCATCGCCGACTATAAGGTCGAGTGGTGGAGCGCCGTCGACGGCGACTACGGCGTGCCCGAGGTCCAGACGCTCCGCGTGCCCAAGGGCAGCGACCGCGGCACGTTCTACCTCTACTCGCCGGGCGGCTTCCGCTACCCCTGGGCCCTGCCCTACGACGTCGCGGCGCAGGACCTCGAGGAGGCCCTCGAGTTCTGCTACGACGTCGGCGACGTGTCCGTGAAGCAGCCCTACGCGACGGACGACGGCTACGTCCAGTACGAGATCTCCTTCGACACGAACGTCGGCAACTTCGGCCCCATCTCCGTCGACGCCGCGGGCTTCGTCCCCGAGGTCTGCCACTCCAAGTACCGCCTCGGCCGCGGCTGCTTGAACGTGACCAACGGCACCGCGGCGATCCTCGGCTCGTCGACGGACGCGTCCTTGGACGTCGAGCCCGGCGCGCGCTACGCGTACACCATCGACACGCTCTGGCAAAAGTCGGGCACGCTCGACGGCTTCGGCGTGCGCGTGTCCGCGGGCAACTCCGCGGGCCACGGCATCCCGTCCGACGCGCTCTACCTCAAGCCCTTTGCGCCCGCGGACGCGCCCGAGGAGGTCCAGGTCGAGCGCGTGCCCGACGAGGAGGCCCAGCTCAAGGTCCAGTGGCTCACGCCGCGCTGGCCCTACGACCGCCAGTCGCTCGTGACGGCCTTTGTCGTGGAATACTCCGAGACGGAGGACTTTGCCGAATCCGTGTCTACCACGCTTTCCAAGGCCGCCTGCGCGTCGCCGCGCCTGCTCTTCGATAGCGCCGTCGGCGAGGCCGGCGTCTGGATGCAGCACACGCTCGACGACCTGGAGCCGGGCACCTACTACTACGTCCGCGTCGCCGCGGTCAACGACGCGGGCGTCGGCGCCTTCGGCGTCGCCGCGACGACGGCCGCGGCCATCGCCGATAAATTGACCGACGGCGCCGTCGGCCTCGCGACGCTCGCGCACGACGGCGGCGTCTCCGTGTCCGACGCGGCGACGTCCCTCTCCGTGTCCTGGGCGCCGCCGGCGTCGGACAACGGCTACGACGTCACGGCCTACGGCGTCGAGTGGTGGCGCGGCTCCGGCGTCGACGAGGTCGAGGTCGTGCAGATCGACGCCGTCGCGCTCAACGTCACGGGCACCTTTACTTTATCCTACGAGGGCGCCGTCACGGGCCACCTGCCCTGCGACGTCTCCGCGGCGGACATGGAGGACGCTTTGGAAGCCCTCGACACGCTCCGCGACGTCCACGTCGAGCGCGCCGTCGACGGCGGCGCGAACTTCTCGTGGACGGTGACGTTCCTGACGGAGTGGCCCGACGCGACCGATAGCCGGCTGGTCATCGACGACGCGGGCCTGTATTCCGTGAATTCGACGGTGCGCGCGCGCGTCGGCTACGGCCTCCGGCCCGACCTCCCGGGCCACCGCTTCACGCTGTCGAACGTGACCGTCCGCTCCGGCTCGGCCGTCGTCCGCGCGGGCGGCACGTGGAACTCCGGGTCCCGCTCCCAGGAGTCGGACCGCGTCCACGCCTACGACTGGATGGACATCGACGGCGGCATCTACCAGGTCGCCTCCGTCAACGCCCAGGCGAACAAGATCACGCTCACGGAGGTCTTCTCCACGGGGCCCTCGGGCGCGTACTCGGCCCAAGTCGGCGTCACCGTGCCCGGCTCGCCGCCGCCGCACTACGACTACGTCGAGGTCGCGCCGTCGCTCCTGTCGAGCTCGGGCCGCTACTCTTATGTGATCCCCGACCTGGTGTCCGGCGAGGCCTACACCGTCCGCGTGTCGTCGATCACGGCGCTCGGCGCCGCGCAGCCGCGCTACACGCAGCCGCGGAGCCTCGCGCCGCCGCGCCAGGTGCCGGACGTGCCCATCAACACGCACCTCCTCGTCTACGGCGGCACGTCCCTGCGCGTGCTCTTCAACCACCCCGCGTCCGACGGCGGGTCGTCCGTGACGCGCTACCGCATCGAGTGGGACACGTCCTCCGAGTTCGACTCCTTCGACGGCTCGCCCCTCGGCTCCAACACGGTCTTGGTCGACCCCACGTCCGGGTCCTACGACGATTGTACATTATCCTACTGCGGCTACACCATCGGCTCGCTCTCGACGGGCAAGAACTACACCGCGCGCGTCTTCGCCGCGAACGCTTATGGGTATTCGACGACGTCCGCCATCCCGGAGCCCCTCTTCGAGGCCCCGAAGAAGCCGCCGTCGCCGCCGGAGACCCTCGGCCTCTTCGCGGTGTCGCGGACGTCGCTCCAGGTGGCCTTCGGCGACTCGGCCGACGAGGGCGGCGCGGACGTGACGCACGCCAAGCTCGAGTGGGACGGCGTCGGCCCCGCGGCCGCGGCTGCCGGCGGGTCGAGCTCGCTCTACTCGCACAACGAGGTCCAGCGCATCACGACCGCGTCGAAATACCGCGACCTCGAGGGCACGTTCCGCGTCGCGTTCCGCGGCCACACGACGGGCCAGCTCGACCACGACTGCACGTCCGACGACATGGCCGCGGCCCTCGAGGCGCTCGCGCCCGTCGGCGACGTCACGGTGACGCGCGAGGAGGTCGGCTACGGCCTCGCGTGGTACGTCACCTTCGAGGCCGCCGCGGGCGACGACGACTGGCTCGGCGATTTACCGCAACTCACCGTCTCCGCCGTCGACGACGACCTCGCGTCCAACTTCTCGACCTACGAATCGCTCGTGTCGGCGTCCCTGACGGGCGGCGACACGCTGACGACGATGACGGGCACGGACGCGTCCATCGCCGCGGACACGCTCGTCGACCGCTACGACGGCTTCTGCATCCAGACCGTCTACACCTACGCCCAGAACGCCACGTTACTCGGCACCTTCGCCCTGAAGTACGACTCCGAGGACGGCGTCGTCGCGACGCAGTACCTCGAGGCCGGCGCGACCGCGGCCTCGGTCAAGGCCGCGCTGGAAGCCATCGGCACGGGCGAGCTCTTCGTCGGCGCCACGCAGGCGGCCATGGGCAAGGAGTACACCATCGTCTTCCTCGAGCGCCTGGGCCCCGTGCCGCCGCTCACCTTCGACGCGTCGCGCCTCTACGGCGGCCAGAACAGGTACGCGACGACGGGCATCACCGTCGCCGTCACCGTCGCCGGCCGGCTCCCGGCCATGGACTCGCCCCTCCGCGGCGAGGCCGAGGTGGAATTGGACACGCTCGACGTGGACTCGCTCGGGCGCTACGTCTACGAGCTCGAGGACCTGGTCGCGGGCGAGCCCTACTCCGTCTCCGTGAGCCTCTACAACGGCGTCCGCTCGACCTACGGCCTCGCGACGCACTCGACGCCCGCGTCGCTCGTCCCCGCGGCGCCGCCGGGCCCGCCGCGGTCCGTGTCCGCCGTCGCGCTCTCCGACGGCTCGCTCAACGTGTCGTGGACGCCGCCCGTCGACGCCGGCGGCGCGGCCGTGACCAAGTACCGCGTCGAGTACGATTCCACGGCGGCGACGCACGAGGTCCAGCGCGTCGAGTTCGAGTGCGCCGACGGCCCCCTCGTCGGCTCCTTCACGCTGACCTTCAACGGCGTGGCGACGGGCCCCGTGCCCGCGGGCGCGTCCGCGGACCGAGTCCGCTCGGCGCTCGAGGCCTTGGCCACCGTCGGCGAGGTCTCCGTGTCCCTCGCGTCGTCGGACGACAGCGCGTCCTACCAGATCGCGTTCCGGACGAACGTCGGGGATCTCCCGGCGCTCGAGGCGTCGACGACGGCGCTCCGCGGCAGCGACGGCGGGCCCGCGTCGTCCGCGGTCTACGAGCAGGTCAAGGGCGGCAGCCCGCCCTTCGACGAGGGCACGGTCGGCATCTACACGCTGCCCCTGGGCTCCGTCGACGTCGTCCCCGTCGCCGAGGTCCAGGTCGTCGAGGTCGGCGCGAAAGCCGAGGACGTCAACGGCTACTTCTACCTTAGTTACGGCGCCGCGGTCTCCGACGCGATCCCCGCGGACGCGACGGCCGCGGAGATGGCCGCGGCGCTCGACGAGCTGAAGACGCTGGGCCCCGTGACCGTGTCGCGCGCCACGAAGACGCACCGGACGACGGAGCCCCTCCAGGACCCGTCCTACGTCTGGTCCGTGACCTTCGACGCGGCGCTCGGCGACGTGCCCTCGCTGCTCGTCTACGCGGGCACGGGCCTCACCCAGGAGGTCATCGGCGCGCACGGCCACCTCGAGGGCTCCGCGCCCTTTGGCAACGTGTCCGAGCTCGTCAAGGGCGGCCTCCCCGAGTGGATCGCCGCGGGCGGCGGCGACCTCGTCGCCGGCCGCCCCTACTACGCGCGCGTCGCGGCCTACACGGCGACGACGACGGCCTGGAGCGAGCCGCAGTTAGCTACCTTGACCGCGGCGCCCGAGTACGCCGTGCCGTCGCCCCCCGTCGACGTCAAGGTCTCCGTCGCGGGCCCGGAGTCGCTCGCGCTCTCCTGGGCGCCGCCGGCGGCGACCGGCGGCGCGGCCGTGTCCCACTACCTCATCCAGTACGACCTCGACACGTCCTTCGACGAGTCGACGGGCGCGTCGCGCGTGCCGCTCTCGGAGCTCGCCTGGGACGACAACGCGGGCCGCTGGGCCTACGTGCTCGACGGCCTCACGACGGGCACGACGTACTACTGCCGCGTCATGTCCTACAACCACGCGGGCTACTCGGACCCGGAGATGGCCGCGTCGCGCAACGACGCGCCGCTCTACCGCGTCGAGACGACCCAGGCCTTCCGCCTCAAGGTCGAGGCGCGCGAGCGCGTCGACTCGACGCCGACGATCGCCGCGGGCTCGACGGCCGACGCCGTCGCCCAGGCCATCATGGACCTGCCGGACGTCGCGACGGGCGCCATCCTCGTGCGCCGCTGGGACATGAGCTCCTGGACGGACTCGACGGGCATGGGCACGCACTGGTCCGGCACGAAGTACGCGTACGAGATCGAATTCGGCAACGACCGCGACGCCGTGCTGGCGCTCACGGGCGTCGACGACGAGGTCCAGGCGTCCAACGTGACCCAGTTCGTCACGCCCGCGGGCGACGCCTACGGCATCGCGCCCGCGTACCGCGAGCCGTCCGCGCCGACGGCCGTGCTGCTCTCGTCGGTGTCGCGGTCGAACCTCGGCGTGTCCTGGTCCGCGCCCGACCTCACGGGCGGCTCCGAGGTCCTCAAATACCTCGTCGAGTGGGACAGCGACCGCGACTTCTCGACGCTCCGCGACATGGACTCGTCCTTCGGTTCCGTCGCGGCGGCGACCGCCGGCGCCGTCGTCGTCAACGCGACGAAATCGGAGGCGGAGTCGCGCCGCTCCGAGTTCCAGTACCAGATCACGGGCCTCGTCATGGGCCGGTCCTACTGGGTCCGCGTCTCCGCGTACAACGACTACATGGGCTACGGCGACGCCGCGTCGTCCGAGCCCGCGTCCGCGGCGCCCGCGGACCAGCTCCTCGGCGCGCCGTCCAAGTTCCGCGCGAACCTGAGCGACACGGAGATGCCCGACCGCCTCCTCCTCACCTTCCAGCAGCCCGTCCTCGACGGCAACGGCTTCGACATCGGGACGGGCGCGGACTACACGCCGAACAAGGCCACGGCCTATCGCATCGAGTGGTCGGCGTCGTCGTCCTTCCCGGCCGCCGAGACGAGCTACTACGACTGGCGCGCGCTCGAGGACGACGACCAGGACCTCGAGTGCGAGGGCGACTGCACGATCGACCTCGGCGCGGAGGTCCAGTCCGTCCGCGTCTTCTCCGACTCCGACTCGCCCCTGACCAACGGCTCCTACAAGCTCATCTACGCGGGCCCCTCGTCGCCGACGACGCGCCTCATCGTGACGCCGGGCTCCGCGCGCGCGGAGTACGTCAACGTCTCCAAGGACGTCGACTCGGCGACGGTCGCGAACGCCGCGGACGTCATCCGCACGGGCGACTTCGTGCGCCTCGGCGGCGTCGACGGCAAGCTCTACTACGTGAACCAGACGACGTCGGGCAACTGCACGCTCCACGAGCCCTACTCGACGGGCCTCGGCTCGTACGTCGATAGCCACACCGCGGCCGCGGAGATCGAGGCCTTCGTCGTGACGCCGCCGGAGACGTGCATCCCCTACGACGCCACGCCCGCGGAGATGCTCGACCACCTGCGCGAGCAGATGGACGACCTGCCCTTCGAGGAGACGCTCGTCGTGTCGCGCGACTCGAACACGTCCGTCGACAGCGGCTACCGCTACCGCGTCACCTTCTCCGGCGGCGCCTTCAGCGCCCAGCCCGTCGCGGAGCTCGAGGTCGTGTCGCGCCTCACGGCGGCGACGCACGGCCTCGCCGACATCTGCGCCAACTTCACGAAGGCCCAGTCCATCGGCTCGAACGTGTCCGTGCGCACCATCCAGGTCGTCCACAGCGTCACGACGGACATCGACTCCGACGCGCTGGCGCCCGGGGCGCCCTACTACCTGCGCCTCGCGGCCGTCAACGACGTCGGCGTCGGCTCCTACGCGGCGCCGTCCATCGACGGCAAGCACGACACGCTCGGCGCGATCGCGCCGTCCGCGCCGCCGGGCCTGCCGACGAACGTCAAAGTCTTCGCGGAGAAGGAGAGCGCGACGAGCCTCCTCGTCACCTGGGAGACCGTCGACGACGACCACGGCGCCGAGATCACGGGCTGGCGCGTCGAGTACGCGAACGCGTCCTACTCGGAGACGTACGACAACGACTGGCACAAGGGCTTCTTCTTCAAGGAGGCCGACGCCGACGCGCGCAGCTTTTTGTTGGATAATCTCACGGCGGGCACGACCTACGCCGTCGGCGTCCGCGCGGTCAACGCACGCGGGCCCGCGCCGCCCGCGTGGTACGAGTACACCCGCCCGTCGCTGCCCTGGTGGTACGAGCAGACGGACTTGTTCGACGTCAAGGAGGGCCGCCAGCGCGCCGTCGCGACGTGCCCGCCCACGGGCCTCACGGAGTGCGTCGAGGAGCCGGACTACTTCATCCTCGCGCGCGCGACGCCGGACGTGCCCCTGACGTTCCTCGCGCAGAACGGGCCCGAGGGCTTCGCGGGGCCCGACGGCTTCACGGCCATGTCCGTCGTGACGTCCTGGAAGAACGGCGGCAACCGCGGCGACGAGGTCGACAAGTTCCTCGTCGAGTGGTCCATGGACGACCAGTTCGCGGGCGACAGTTACCAGTCGAAGATCGTCCAGAACAACCGGACGTCCGAGCCCAACGTCGAGCAGGTGCTCAACCTGACCTGCGCCGACGACGACTGCCGCGGCGACATCGTGTTCGTGCGCATCTCGGCGCACAACTCCCTCGGCTTCTCCAACGTCTCCGAGACCATGGAGGCCGTGCCGATGAAGTCGAGCGACGCGCCCTACGCGCCGTCGCTCGAGGCGCTCGACGAGGACGCGGGCGAGTACACGGTCCAGGACGTCGGCTCCCAATTACTGGTGAAATGGACCGTGCCCGTCAACGACAGCGTCGACATCTACGGCAACGGCGGCGACACGATCACGTCCTACTTGGTCGAATACTCGAAGGAGCCCTGGGACGACTTCGTCCCCGTGATCCAGCGGCTCCAGGTCGCGTCCAACGCCCCCGGCGGCGTTCTAGGCGGCACGATCCGCCTCTCGCTGAACACGACGGACGACTCCAACGCCGCGGTGAAATCCTTCGCGACCTCGTCGCAGATCTTCGTCGGCAACGCGACCGCGTACGACGCAGGGCAGCAAAAGGGTGATTCAACGTCGCTTCAACGTGAGTGTTCCGCGCGCGCGCGTTCCGGAAAAAGCGTTTGCGCTTCGAGACCGTCCCGAGAGATGATCGCTCGTCCAAGAATCAGCCGAAACGAGTGGAAAACGGCCGAGAGAGGAGACTTTGAAGTTGGGAATTTCGCACCCTTTTGCTGCCCAGGTACGACGTCAAGATCGCGCTCGAGAACATGGAGAACGTCGGCGAGGTCGAGGTCACGGGCACGGTGTCCGGCAGCGGCGATTCCCACACCTACGATATTACGTTCGTCGACGTCGTCGGCAACATGTCGCTGCTCCAGCCCTACGCCGAGGGCGTCACGCGCGGCGTCAACGACATCTCCTTCGACCCGAACCTCTTTAACATCACGGAGCTGCGCAACGCGACCGTGCCCTACGGCGCCGAGTACCGCCAGGTCGTCGTCGACGTCGACGCGGGCGACGGCATGGACTTTGAATACTTTTTGGGCGGCCCGGACCGCCGGAGCCACCCGCCGCTCCTGCCGGGCGTGACCTACTACTGCCGCGTCGCGGCGGGCCACACGCTCGGCTACGGCGCGCGGCGCCAGACGCGGCCGCCCTACGTGACCGTGCCCCGGCAGACGCCCGGCACGCCCGGCGCGCTCGCGCCCGGCGGCGCCGACGGCATCCCGACGCTGGAGGCCTCGAGCGACCAGACGCTCGTCGTCCAGATCGGCGCGCCCGAGTTCGACGGCGGCGACCCCGTCGTCTACAACGTCATCCAGTGGGACACGTCCCAGGACTTCACGTCCGACGACGGCGAGCCGCTCGGCTCCGCGACGGTCGCCGCGTCGAAGTGGCTCTGCGCCGACTGCGTCAAGGGCTTCGACGTCGACACCCACGTCTTCAACTACACGGGCAAGAACGACGACCCCCGCGAGCTCGCGAGCGGCGCGGCCATCTACGTGACCTTCCCCGACGACGGCCTCACGTACATGTTCACCGTGAAGTCGGGCGACCTGTACGCGCCGAACAAGAACCTCATCTACGTCGAGGACTCGCACCAGCGCGTGCTCTCCTACGCGCCCATGGACGCGGAGCTCCGCGTCGTCGGCGCGTCCTACAGCATCGACGGCTTGGTGCCCGGCCTCGAGTACTACGTCCGCGTCGCGTCCGAGAACGCGATCAAGGGCCAGGGCGACTTCCTGCGCACGGCGCCGCCCTCGGCGATCCCCGTGGGCACGCCCTCCGCCGCCGGCACCGTGGAGACGGCCGTCGCGTCCGCGCACGCCGTCGACGTGTCCTGGACGGCGAGCCACGTCGCCGGCGGCGCCGTCTCGGGCTACCGCGTCGAGGCGATGACGGCCCAGGCCATCCCCTCCGCGCTGGGCTCGCTCTACGGCCTCGCGGAGGTGCAGAAGGTGTCGACCTACTGGACCTACGACGCCGACGAGGGCGACGGCTACACGACGGCCTACGCGAACAACGCGACGGACGGCTCCTTCACGCTGGCCTTCGGCGCCGTCGACCGCGCGCTGCCCGGCACCGTGAAGATGGTCTACATGAAGCAGTACATGACCACGTCGGTAGATCTCACGGGCCACATCGGCCGCGGCGACGCCATCGTCGTCAACGGCCAGACCATGACCGTGTCCGCGCGCCGCGCGTTCAATTCCACGCACCTCTACGTCGAGGAGGTCTACTCGGGCGACACGGGCCTCGCGTTCACCGCGTACCAGCGCGCGACGACGGTGCCCATCGCCCACGACGCCTCGGCCAACGCCGTCGAGGGCTACCTCGAGCAGCTCCCGAGCGTCGGCGACGTCCGCGTGGGCCGGTCCTACGACGAGGACGCGGGCGGCTACGTCTGGAGCGTCACGTTCCTGAGCGACGTCGGCGACCTCGACCCCCTCGTCGCGAACCCGACGGGCCTCCTCTGCGCCTTGGAGGACTGCATCAACCCGAGCATCCGCGTCGTCGAGCACTACGCGGGCGTCGAGCCCGACAACTACACGGCCGTCACCGTGTCCGGCGCCGCGTCCGCGGCGACGATGACGGGCCTCGCGACGGGCGCCGAGTACGCCTTCCGCGTGACGGCCTACTCGGCGAACGGCTACGGCGAGGTCAGCGCCGTCGCGACGGCGACGCCCGCGGAGGAGCCAGCCGCGCCCACGGGCCTGGCGCGGCTCTCGCGCCACTCCACGTCGCAGCTCCTGCTCCAGTACGAGCAGAGCGCCGACGACGCCGGCGCGGGCATCACGTCCTACACGATCCAGCACTCCCAGTCCGCGGCCTTCCCCGAGGGCGCGACGGTCGAGCAGTCCTTCGATATTTCGTATGAGGTCCAAAAGGTCGCGACGGACGCGCACACGCTGCCCTTCACCGAGGCCGCGTCGTTCTCGCTGTCCGTCGGCGACTTCGAGGGCAGCTGGGTCCTCTTCGACGAGCACGAGAAGAACCGCACGCTCGTCGACGTGGACCACAACGGGTCCCTCGTGACGCGGTCGCTCGCGAACTCGGGCGCGGACGAGCGCGGCGAGCTCGACCAGCACTTTGCGCGCGGCGACTTTTTGCGCATCGGCGGCCAGGTCTTCTCCGTCTGCCTCCAGACGAACGCGTTGCTCCACAACGTCACGCTGTCCTACCCCGTCGACGACTCGGCCGACACCTACGGCTGGGCGCGCTACGACGAGTCGACGCTGCCTTTGTGCAAAGCGTCGGACCCCTGGACCGCGGCCTTCTACGACGGCGGCAGCCGCGAGGACGACCTGCGCCAGGCGCCCCTCTACAAGCTCGACACGGCCCTCAGCGGCTCCTACGCGCCGGAGCTCGGCGACGCGCGGCTCGCGCCGCGCCTCGGCGACTCCGTCGGCACGGCCGTCGACTGGCGGTCGCTGGGCCTGCGCCGCGGCGACTACGTCCGCGTGGGCCACCCCGTCGACGGCGAGACGTTCCGCGTCTCGACGGACCACACGCGCGAGTTCTCCGAGGCCTACGTGCCCCTCGCGTCGCCCGACGACGCCATGTCCGAGGCGGGCCTCACGGTCGCGTCGCTCGCGCACGCGACGTACGAGGTCCAGGAGATTCTGATCTACTGCGACCCGACCAAGTCGGGCGCGACCATCGACAACAAGAACAAGTGCAACCTCACGGAGGGCGCGACGTCCGCGAGCGGCTACCGCCTCGTCTTCGGCGAGGAGCTCACGACGCAGACGACCGCGGGCGGCGAGGCCGGCTGCCTCCTCTGGGACGGCGCCGCCGCGGACCTCGAGGCGGAGCTCGAGGCCATGTACCTCGTCGACGACGTCGTCGTCACGCGCGGCGACATGAACAACGCCGCGGGCGACAGCTACTACGGCGTCCGCTACCTCGTCACCTTCGTCGGCGACCTCGTCCGCGGCAACGTGCCCCAGCTCACGGTCACGGACCTCGGCCGCGACGGCTGCGGCGACGCCGAGGACGCGGACGCGTCCTACGTCTTCGGCTCGAACGCGACGGCCTACTCGGCCACGCTGCAGGCGAGCACGGTCCCGGTCTGGAAAGCCCAGACGACGGCGCCGCTCGCCTGGGACGCCGAGGCCGCGGACGTCAAGTACGCGCTCGAGAACCTCGCCCAGGTCTGCACCGTCGACGTCGAGCGCGTCGTCGAGACGGGCTCGAACGGCTACTCGTGGTACGTGACCTTCACGTCGGAGCTCGAGAGCGAGGCCGACACGGCCTTCGCGTACCAGGCCATGGTCGGCCTCGGCGCCAACGAGGACGGCCTCGACGCCGCGGTGCTGCCGACGGTGTCCGTCGTGCCCGTCCGCGAGGTCGTGCTCGACGCGAACGTCTCCGGCGGCCCGACGTACGTGAGGGTCGCCGCGAACAACGACTACGGCCGCGGCGAGTACCGCGCGTCGAGCCCGCTCGCGCTGACCCCGTCGACGCAGAAGCCCGACCCGCCGGCCTACGTCCGCGCCGAGGTCGTGTCGCCCACCGAACTGCTCGTCGAGTGGACCGCGCCGCTCAACGACGGCGGCCAGCCCGTGACGTCCTTCAAGGTCGAGTACGACCCGTCGGCCGAGTTCAACTCCGGCGCCGAGGGCTACCCGACGAACACGACGCACGTTTTGGCGACGTCGCGCAACGCGCGGCCCGACGTCCAGTCGTTCACCGTCGCGGAGACGACGGGCGACCGCTACCTCGGCGGCTTCTTCGCGCTGAGCTTCGACGGCCAGGACACGCAGGCGCTGCCCTACGACGCGTCCGCCGCGGCCGTCGAGGCCGCGCTCGAGTCGCTCTGCACCGTCGACGACGTCACGGTGAGCCGCGAGCTCCGCTGCTCGCCCGCGCCGGACGCGCACACGGGCTGCGTCGACCCCCAGGGCTACACGTGGCTCGTGACCTTCGAGTCCGTCTTCTACGGCGGCGACCAGCACACGCGGTTCCGCTCCGCCTACCAGGGCGTCTCGGGCCACAAGCTCGCCGTCGACGGCGCGAACCTGCTGAGCTGCGCGTCCAAGGAGGGCGGCGGCCACTTCCCCGACGCGACGGACTGCTTCCGCCACAGCGCGAACGCGTCCGCCGTCGCGACGCTCACGGGCTCGCGCCAGGAGCGCCAGGTCTTCAAGTGCGAGGAGGCCGTCGGCGCGTCGCTGAGCCTCCAGGTCCGCGGCGACTACACGGCGTCCCTCGTCAAGATGCTGCCCGGCGAGCTCTTCGCGACGGTCCAGCCCGACGGGCTGCCGGCGGGGTTCCCGCTCACGCGCGGCGGCATCGGCAAGGACGCCGACGGCCTCTCCATCGAGGAGGCCATCGAGACCGTCGCGGGCGAGGTCGAGCTCAGCTGCTACGGCTGCGCCGACTACGTGACCTACAACGGCAAGAACGTGACCTGGGTGCCCTGCGCGGGCGAGAACATCACCGTCAACTTTGGGTCCGCGCGCGGCGACGTGCCGCCGATCCTCGTGTCCAACGGCGCGCGCGCGCGCGAGCTCGTCAAGGGCGTCGCGCAGGAGGCCGTGGGCCAGCTCACCTACTCGGCCCTCGTGTCCACGGGCGTCACGTCCGGCTCGTCCTACTACGTCCGCGTGTCGTCCTACTCCTCCGTCGGCGTCGGCGAGGCCGCGGTCGCGGATCTAGTGTCGCCGCTGCAGCCCGCGGTCGTCGCGCCGCGCGAGCCTCTGAACGCTCACGCGAGCCACGTGGGCGACCACGAGGTGCTCGTCGGCTGGGACGGCCCGACGTCCGACGGCGGCTCGGACCTCGACTCCTTCGTCGTCGAGTGGGACACGAACCCGTCGTTCTCGTCGCAGTGCCTCGAGGTCTCGGGCTTCGACTGCGGCGACGTCGGCCCCGTCGGCTCGCTGGAGATCTCCGTCGGCCGCGCGGACCAGACCATCGGCACGGTGGCCTACGCGTCGCCCGACGACGACGATGCCGCGCTCCGGCGGCGCATCGCCCTGCCGCTCTCCGCGGCGGACGACGTCGACGAGGGCGACACGATCAACGTCGACGGGAACGCGTACGTCGTCCAGACGGTCAACGCGGACGCGTACTTCGCCGCGGCGGAGCCCCACACGGTGACCTGCGCGACGGACGTGACCTGCGTCGTGCTCACGACGCCCTACGTCGGCCGCGCGGTCAACGCGTCCGCGCCGCAGATCTACGCGTTCTCGGGCGCGTCCGTCGGGTCCATCTACTCGACGGAGATCACGGACCTCAAGTCCGGCGTCGAGTACTACTTCCGCGTCGCCGCGCGCACGACGCCGGGCTGGAGCGACCGCCCGGGCGACCCCCTCGACGGCTACCTCGTCGGCCCCTGGACGACGGCCCACGCGGACGCGCTGTGCGCGTCCGCGCCGGACGTCCCCCAGGTCGCGCAGATCGGCGGCGGCATCGTCGAGGGGTCCTGCAACGTCTACGACGTCATGGGCTGCCGCCTGCTGGAAGCCTCGTCGATCCGCGTCGACTGGCGGCCGCCCGCGCTCGGCTACCCCGAGGGCAACAACGGCGCGGCCGTCTCGGGCTACGAGGTCCAGCTCTCGGGCCGCCAGTCCGCGGTGCAGACGCTCGTCGTCACCGTGGCGACGCCGTCCTTCAGCGACGGGTCCTACGCGCTCCAGAGTGGCAATTCGACGACGGCCTGCATCCCCGTGGACGCGGACGCGGCGACGCTCGAGCTCCGCCTCGAGGAGCTTCCCTACGTCGACGGCGTCTCCGTGACCAGGGAGGCGACCTCCACGACGGAGACGGTCTACGCCATCACCTACGACGGCGCCTACGTGTCCAACTACCACGTCGACCCCCTCGCCGTCGTCGCGGCGAACGTCGCGCGCGGGCCCGCGCTCGGCTGCGCGTACGACGCGGGCGCGGTGACGATCGCCGCGCACTGGGGCGACCGCTACGACAACGCGTCGACCATGGTCGCGTCCCACGTGCCCGAGGTCGCCACGGTGTCCACGGGCTCGCGCACGCGCCACGGCAAGCTGTCGGGCGTCTTCGAGCTCGCGTGGGACTTTACGGGCTTCCCGGACCTCGCGCTCTGGGCGAACGACACCGACAGCGTCGTCAACGCGACTGTCGACGCCGGGTCGGCCAAGGTCTACCTCCACCACCGCACGGGCGCCAACCTGACGGCCCTCCTGAACCCCGGCGACCTCGTGCGCATCGGCGGCGAGGTGCACCACGTGTCGCTCGACGCGTCGTTCCCGTCGCGCGGCTTCGACAAGCGCGGCGAGTACTTCCACCTCGTCGACTACCACCTCCAGGGCTGCGACTCCTGCACGGTCTTCGTCGAGTCGACGCGCCTGGGCCACACGCTCCACGGCGGCGGCGGCAAGGACAAGTGGAGCGGGCGCCTCCTCGAGGACGAGGCGGCGCTCGTCTACTTCGAGGAGGGCCTCCGGTTCCCGCCGAACCGGGCCTACCAGACGCTCGAGTCCGAGGCGCGCAACTCGTCGGCCTACCGGCGCCAGTCCGTGCTCGTGCCCTTCGACGCGTCGCCCATGGAGCTCGAGCAGGCGCTCGAGGGCCTCCCGGGCCTCGGCTCCGTCGAGGTCTCGCGCTTCGGCCCGGCCAAGGACAACGGCTTCGTCTGGTCCGTGACCTTCACGTCCCTCGGCGGCGCCTCGCGCTGCCCCGAGGCGCCCTGCCTCACGGCTTCCGCCGTCACGGCCAACTACGTCGAGCTCGGCGGGCCCGGCTGCGCGGGCGACCTCGCGGGGCCCTACGTCGAGACGGGCGCGATCTACAACGGCCGCTCCGTCTTCGAGAAGGTCGGCACGCCCTTCTTTATCAACTGGGACGCGAACGCGTCGTCCTGGGAGCTCAAGGCCAACAACCTGACCCTGGCCCACGGGCCGAAGCAGGCGTTCTACTACCCGCGCGGCGGCTACGAGTTCTACGCGGCGTCCTGCGTCGTCCAGCGGCGGCCCGACGGCGACCCGGCGACCGTGCCCCTGCTGCACAACACCTTCGCCAACGGCTCCGCCGTGGCCCAGTCCAACGACACCTACGCGGACGCGCGCGTCGCGCGCGCGGGCGTCGCGCCGTCGTTCGACGACACGGTCTTCTTCGAGTCCGCGTCCGGCGGCGCCTACGAGGTCCAGGCCATCTCGTTGACGGCGGACGCCGACGACGTCGACGGCGTCTTCACCATCGCCTTCACGGACACGGAGGCCGTCACGGGCACGGTCTTCCGGGCCCACGCGCCCGTCGTCGTCGAGTACGACGCGACCGCCGAGGACGTCGCGGTCCAGCTCGAGTCCCTCGCCTCCGTGGGCCGCGTCGCCGTCTCCAAGACCGCGCTCCCGACGGCCGACGCCTCGTCGGTCTACGGCGCGGTCTGGACCGTGACGTTCCTGACGCAGCCCGGCGACCTGCCGCTGCTCATCCTCGACGGGTCCTCCCTGTCGGGCACGAACGTCGCCCTCTCCGTCGCGACGTCGTCGGAGGGCGTCGACCCGACCTACGAGACCCTGGCGACGGGCCTCGAGCCGGGCAAGCGCTACGCCGCGCGCGTCCGCGCGGTCAACTCCGAGGGCTACGGCCCCTGGACCGACGAGCCGCTGCGGTCCGCCAAGGGCATCGACGAGCCCGCCCAGGGCCAGGGCGCCGGCGTGTTGCCGCTGTCGACGGCCGTCGGCTCCGTGCCGGACCCCATCGCGTCCGTGACCGTCGCGGCCGCGTCCGCGTCGCAGTTTTCCATCGCGTACGACGCGCCCGAGAGCCGGGGCCTGCCCATCGACTCCTACCTCATCGAGTGGACGACGGCGTCGTCCTTCACGGCGACGTCGGAGACGTGGACCATCGAGCTCCGCAACGAGCCCTGGGGCCTCGCGGACCTCCAGGGCCGCTGGTCCATCTCCGTCGGCTCCTTCGAGACGCACCCGCTCTCGCCGACGGCGTCCGCGGACGCCGTCGCGGCCGCGCTCAACGTGCTCCGCAACATGGGCGCCGTCCAGGTCGAGAAGTCGGCGACGCGGTCCGTCGCGACCTACAAGGTGAGCCTCCTCCAGGACGTCGGCGACCTCAACGGCTTCGCGGTCCACACCGAGGAGCTCCAGTCCATCTCCCACCCGCTCAACCACTCCATCTCCGGCGGATCCGTCAACGCCTCCGGCGCGCCGGGCGTCAAGCCCGCGAACTACGGCGCGATGATGGTCTACACGGAGGCGGACGGCGACGCCTTCGACGGCGCGTGGCGCGCGGACGGCGGCGTCGACGTGCCCAAGAGCCGCTGCGGCTCCGTCTACGCGGGCCTGCTCGACTCCTGGGACTCGCTCCAGCTCCTGTCGCTCCACACCCTCGACGACCAGGCCCACGAGACGGAGCACTACGTCGACGCCGGCTCCTACCGCCTCGAGCTCGGCGGCGAGCTCACGAAGTGCATCGACTACGCGGCGTCGGCGATCGAGGTCCGCGAGGCCATCGAGGGCCTCGAGTTCGTGCCGTCGGGGTCCGTGCGCGTCAAGGCCTTCGAGGCGACGAACCAGACGGGCTTCCCCTTCCGCTACTCGATCCAGCTCCTCGGCGCCTACGTCGACGGCGCGTGGCCCCAGCTCCGCGTCGACCCGACGTCGTTCGGCAAGTCGTGGCGCGACGTCGACGTCAAGAGCGGCTGCGAGGAGTTCTCCGTCGTCACGACGGGCAACGTGCCCCTGGGCAAGTCGAACGTGACGGCGTCCATCGTGCCCATGGCCGAGCACGGCTCCTGCGCGTCGGGCAACGACGAGGTCCAGATCGTCGTCGCCGAGGCCGACACGGCGCTCGGCGGCTCGCTCGACCTCTACTTCAACGGCCAGGTCGTCGAGGGCTTCGCCGTCGACGGCTCGCCGCGGGACCTCGAGGCCGCGCTCCTGGCCCTGGACGGCGTCGACGCCGTCGAGGTCACGAAGCACGTCCACGCGGACCAGCCCTACGGCATCGCGTACGCCGTGACGTTCACGGGCGGCCTCGGCCGCCGCGACCTCCTCGCCGCGGGCGCGTCGCACCTCACGGGCAACGACGCCGCGGCGAACGTCTACCCGCTCGTGAACATCTCGTCCATGGCCATCCTCGACGATCTGGAGGGCACCTTCGTCATCCACGTCGGCGACGAGATGACCGCGCCGCTCCGCTGGGACGCGACGCACGGCAAGGTGCTCCACGCGCTCCACGCGCTCGACGCCGTCGGCCGCGTCGCCATCCTCGGCGAGCCCGACGGCGCCCTCGAGGCCCCGGTCTACCTGAGCAACGGCACGCACTGCGGCATCCTCGCGGCCATCGAGGGCGACGGCCGCGGCTGCGGCGTCCAGGAGGCCGTCGTCCTGGGCGACCTCAGCACGGCCGTCGCGCCCGGCGACGCGCTGCGCCTCTCGAACGCGACGGACGCCTGGGACTCGGGCGCGGGCCCGAGCCGCCTGATCACGGCCGTGTCCTACGTCGCCAACTTCCGGTCGCTGCCGGACGAGCTGCGCCTCAACCTCACGCAGCTCATCGGCCGCGACGACGTCGCCGACGCCGGCGGCATCACGGTGCTCGAGCTCAGCTCGCCCTTCCACCACGCGGACATCATGCGCGACGGCCGCCAACTGTTCGCCTGGGGCTACTACGGCCGCGGCGACGACGGCGGCCCCGGCGAGGACTTCAAGTCGAAGAACCTGCTCGGCGCGTACCGCGCGTTCATCGGCGAGACGTCCAAGGCCAAGGCGCCGCTCCCGGGCAAGGTGTCCTTCGACGCGGCGACGACGGTGCTCCAGGCGACGCCCGCCGCGGGCGTCACGAACGGCATCGACTACAGCCGCGTCGTCTACCTCGCCCCCGGCGGCGTCGCCGCGCTCAACGCGTCCGTCTTCGGCAACGGCGCGAACGAGTCGGAGATCGTCGTCGCGGGCGAGACGTACAAGATCGCGGACGTGAACCACGCGAACTGCGGCGTCGACTGCCTGCTCCTCGAGACGCCGCTCCACGTCTCCGTGGACGCGGGCCTCCCGGCGACGTCGGTCTTCCCGCGCATGGTCACGGCGACGACGACGGCGGACCTCGCCGCGCCCCTCGTCGCCGGCGGCTCCGTCTGGATCGCGGCGACGCGCTTCGACGTGCTCTCGGTCGCGTCGACGTCGCTGCGCCTCACGGGCCCCTTCGTCGAGCCCGCCGTCGGCGCGACGGCCTTTGGCTGGGCCAACGGCTACGCCTACGACCTCGTCTTCAAGGACTTCACGAGCCCGCTCGGCGCGGACCCGGGCGGCGCGAAGAAGCTCGACGCGATCAAGGCGCTCCGCGCGCGGCCCTTCGGGGGCTTCCGCGGCACGGGCGCCCAGCTCCGCTACTCGCTGCCCTTTGGCATCGCGCCGCGCACGGACGTCCTCGGCGCCCCGTCGGAGGTGCAGACCGTGGCCATCCGCGCGACGTCGGAGACGGCCGCGCGCCGCGCGCGGAACCAGGCCAACTTCACGCTGAGCATGGCCCACAGCGACCAGTACTTCAGCGACGGCACGGCGACTTTGACGACGACGACGCCCATCCGCTGGGGCGCGTCGGCCGCCGACGTCGAGGCCGCGCTCCTCGAGCTCAACGAGGTCGACCAGGTCACCGTGAAGCGCTCCGGCGACGGCGTCTCCGCGGGCAGCGAGCACGGCTACGTCTACACCGTCACCTTCTGGGGCGCGAACCACGCGGACCTGGGCATCCCCCAGCTCGAGCCGCGCCTCTTCAAGCCCGACACCGACGACACGCCCGCGAACCGCACGTCGATCCACGTCGACACGGTCCGCGAGGGCGCCGCGCCCGGCCGCCACGCGTCGAAGTACGTCGCCTTCGCCGCGGACGCCGAGTACACGTTCCGCGTCTCCGCGAAGAACGCCGTCGGCTTCGGCCCGCCGTCCGTGCTCGCCACGGGCACGGCCGCGCTCGCCGTGCCCGACGCGCCGACGGCCGTCGTCCTCGGCGAGGCCTACGACGCCGCGTCCCTCAGCGTCGCCTGGCAGCCGCCGTTCCTCGACGGCGGCGCGACGATCTCCGCCTACCGCGTCGAGATCGACAGCTCCGCGGGCTTCGACTTCCACGGCGACGACTACCGCGTCGACGAGGTCGCCTTCGTCCACGAGGTCCAGACGGTGACGACGCACTTCCGCGCGGCCGAGTCGCAGCGCCGCGGCACGTTCACGCTGTCCTGGGGCGGCAAGACGACGGCCCACCTCGACCACGACGCGTCCGCCGACGAGGTCGCCGACGCCGTGAGCCGCCTCACGGGCGTCTGGGACGTCGGCGTGCCGCCGGTCCGCGTCACGCGGTCGCGCGCCGCGCGCGGCTACGCGTGGCGCGTCCAGTTCGTCGGCGTCTACGGCAACGTCGGCCTCCTCACGGCCGACGACTCCTACCTCATCGGCGACGACGCGCGCATCGAGGTCGAGGAGGTCACGGAGGGCTACTGCGACGTCGTGCCCGGCGGCTTCTCCTACGAGGTGCAGACGGTCCAGGTCGACGCGCTCTCGACCGTGTCGGGCTCCTTCAAGCTCAGCTTCGAGGGCCAGGAGACGGCGTCCATCGCCGTCGACGCGTCCGCGATCGAGTTCAAGTACGCGCTCGAGGCCCTCGACACCATCTTCACGGCCAACGTCGTCGCCGAGGACTACGAGCCGTCCAAGGGGCCCCGCCTCTGGACGGTCACCTACACGCACCAGGCGCACACGCTCACGCAGGGCGCCCAGGACGCGTCGCTCATGGTCTCCGACACCGCGGACCTGTCGCCGTCGTCGACGGCCGAGGTCGTCATCACGGAGCGCATCAAGGGCGCCGACGCCTTCCGCTACGCCTTCGACGGCCTCGACGCGGGCAAGGAGTACTTCGCGCGCGTCACGGCCTACAACTCCGCGGGCTACGGCCCCGTGTCGTCCGTCGCGACGGCGACGCCGCGCACGCAGCCGGGCCTCCCGGGCACCGTCGCCGTCGCCGTCGCCTCCGGCACGTCCCTCGACGTGACCTGGACGCCGCCGAACGACGACGGCGGCGCGCCGGTCCTCGGCTACGACATCGAGTGGTACTCCGAGGAGACCCAGGACGAGGTGCAGGTCGTGACGCTCTCCGCGTCCGACGGCGTCGCGGAGATCCAGTCCGTCACGACCGAGGCCGACACGGACGGCCTCAGCGGCTACTTCACCCTCGAGCTCCGGGGCGAGACGACGGAGATCATCTCCGTCGACGCGCCCGCCGAGGGCGAGGGGTCCGTGAAGACGGCCCTCGAGCGCCTCAGCTCGTCCGGCGAGATCGAGGTCTCGCGCGACTACAGCTCGCGCGTCGTCCGCGGCGTCTCCGTTGCCGCCGGCGAGGGCAAGGGCTTCATCGAGGTCAGCAAGGGCGCCTTCCACCAGACGGGCTCGAGCCGCCTCGACCAGAACGACCTCGTCTTCGTCGCCGGCGAGCAGTTCCGCGTGCGCCAGATCGACTACGGCGCGGGCCGCCTCGAGCTCGGCTCGCTCGACGACTTCACGACGCCCGCGTACTTCGCGGGCGCCAACGTCACCGACGCGCCGCTGACGACCTGGGCCTTCGGCTACGAGTGGACCGTGACCTTCGCGGGCCTCGTCGGCGAGCAGCCGCTCCTCGTCGCCAAGGAGGCGGACCTCTGGGCGGGCACGTCGCCCGTCCTCAAGGTCGAGCGCGTCCGCTTCGGCCAGGCGCCGCTCAAGGGCACCTTCGCGCTCGGCTTCGAGGGCGACGCGACGCCGCCGCTCTCGCACGACGCGACCGCGGCGGACGTCGAGGCCGCGCTCGAGCAGCTCTCGACGATCACCGACGTCGTCGTCACGCGCACGGTCAACAACAACGGCTACAACTACGAGGTCGCCTTCGGCCACCCGCGCGGCGACGTCTCGACCATGTACGCCCTCGACGACATGCTCACGGGCCCCGACGCCGCCGCGCGCGTCGCGACGTTCACGCACGGCAAGGACCCGGACCACTTCGGCACGGACCGCGCCGCGGGCGACGCGTCGTCCTACCAGATCACGGGCCTCGACGCCGGCGTCGGCTACTACGTCAAGGTCGCGCCCTTCAACTCCGAGGGCACGGGCCTCTACGCGGGCCCCGGCGAGGGCGCCGACGACGACAGCTCCGCGGTCGTCGGCATCGTCGCGCCCGTCGCCGCGCCCGGCGGCCCCGAGGACGTCGAGCTCTACCCGCTCGAGCCCACGTCGCTCCGCGTCGAGTGGAGCCCGCCGACGGACACGGGCGGCCAGGCCATCGTGCGCTACGTCGTCCAGTGGGACACGAGCGCGGATTTCGGCAACATCGCGACCTCGGGCTACGAGGCGCTCGTCACGGCGACGGCGGACGCGGAGCGCGAGTGCTACGACATCGCCATCTCCGCCGTCAGCAGCCAGGTGCCGCGCTACGTGCGCGTCGCGGCCTACAACGGCTTCGCCGTCTCGGGCTTCGAGACGTCGTCGCCGCTGAGCGCCGCGGGCGCGCTCCTGCCGCCCGGCGCGCCGCTCGACGTCGTCCTCGAGGTCACGTCCGGCGTCGGCCTCCTCGCGACCTGGGCCGAGCCCTCGGCCTACGCCGGCGGCTCCTGCGGCTACGGCGGCGACGGCGGCTCGGAGATCGTCGAGTACGCGGTCGAGTGGGACGTCACGGCCGACTTCTCGTCGCCCGCGGAGCGCGTCATGGTGCCCGCGACGTCGCTCAGCTTCCTCATCGGCGGCCGCGACCCGCTCACGGGCGTCGAGTCGACGATCCTCGAGCGCGGCCGCACGTACTGGGTCCGCATCACGGCCTTCAGCGCCGAGGGCGCGTCCCCGGCGACGCCGACGACGCCCCCGAGCGCGACGACGGCCGACTCCGTCCCCGGCGAGCCCGAGGCGAACCCCGTCGCGACGCCCGTCGACGCGACGAGCCTCTACTCGTCGTGGAGCGTGCCGTCCAAGGACGGCGGCGCGACCATCGACGCGTTCCGCGTCGAGTACGACCCGGACAGCGGGTTCGGCACGCCCCAGACCGCCGTCGCGCCGGTCATCTCCGAGTACCAGATGCTCCTGCTCAACGCGGACGTCTACAGCGAGATCCAGTCCATCCAGGCGACGACGCTCGTCACGAACGAGAAGCAGACCGTGCGCACGTCCGTCGACGGCGTCGACGAGGTGCAGACCATCACGACGTCCGCCGACGAGGTGACGCCCGAGGTCCAGACGCTGACGACGTCCGCCGTCGACGTCGACGAGATCCAGACGGTCCTCGCGTCCGCGACGATCAGCGACGAGATCCAGGTCGTCCGCACGTCCGTCGAGAGCGTCGCCGAGAAGCAGCGCGTCACCTACGCCGTCGGCGACACGCCCGAGGTCCAGGCCTTCGGCTTCTACCTGCTCCAGGCGGACACGAACCAGGGCTCGCTCGAGGCGACGATGGACGCGCTCGACGCGGACCTCGCGAGCGTCGTCCCGACGTTCGACATCTCGTGGGACATCACGGACTGCGGCTCCGCCGAGGGCGTCAACTTCTGCCAGCTCGGCGTCGACGAGGACAGCGCCATCGGCACCATCTCCTGCGACAGCGACCCGACGAACGACTGCATCGCGGCCTCCATCGACCTCTACGACTCGTCGAACGCGCTCATGTCGACGGCCGACATGGAGACGGCGCTCAACGCCATGTCCTACTCGGGCACGCAGTTCATGATCGACGCCGACGGCGTCGGCGTCAACGTGACGCGCACGCGCGAGATCGTCGGCGACGTCCAGGCCGGCGACGGCTCCGGCACGTCCTGCGCGTCGTGCACGGGCGTCTACCACGTCGAGTACCGCGTCACCTTCACGGGCCGCCACCACCGCGGCAACGTGCCGTCGATCGCGCTCACGACGTCCTCCGCGCTCTCGACGTACTCGTCGACGTACGGCGGCTACACGGCCGTCTCGGGCTCGGACACGATCGGCTACCTCAGCTCCTGCTGCGATTCCACGTGCTCCTCGAGCTGCCCCGACGAGCTCGGCCCCGTGATCTGGACGACCAGGTCGCCTACTCGATCCTCGAGGGCAACCAGCCCGACGGCTCCATCAAGCTCGAGT